TTTTATTTTTCAGAACGTGAAGCAGGCCGGAGAACAACCCAAAACAGAACTGTAAAACTCATCACAAATGTAACTGATTTATTAAACATCAAAATAAAAAGAAATATATGAAAAACAGAACATCTGACTCCCCTACCTTCATTTTGCCAGCACAGATAATGTGATGAAACAAAAAAGACCTGTTTCCATCCTCGTTTTGCTGGAGCATGTTAGGTTTTGTGTTTACACTAGTGTGAGCCAGTCTGCAGCTTGGTCAGGCGGCCGCAGGCCACGGGCCACAGGTCGCAATGATGTGGCGAACCTTGATATTCTGTCTGCAAATGTTTGCGTCCAAACCACAACACACCAACCTCAGGGAGACTGACAGAAAGCAGAGTGGGAAGATGGAAATGGAGGAAGTCGAGGCAGAGTTGTTATTGCAAGTTATATTCATTCTGTATAGTAAAGTGTGCAAAAATAGGAAAAGCACAATGCAAGCCAACTTTAAAATCCTCATTAAAAATTCTAAGAGTCCATATTTGAAGGATATACACACATTCAAGAACTAGGGCATCTGAATAGAAATATCATCTATATTTGACTTGAGAACATATGTGGTGCTCTAAATGTGGATTAAAGCTAAGATTATTTAGTTGTAAAAGCTGTAGAAGCTCAGTAAAAGAACAACAGATGGGCTGGAGACATCAAGAGAGAAGAAAAGTTTGGGCTTTGCCCAAAAATAATCTGTCAAGCAAGATGGGAATTTCAAGGTCCAGACTGGGATCGGTATAATTAGTGGTGCTGCTCTGCCAAGCGGTTACATCCGGCGGAATCGGGGAAGCCTGGCAGGTGACTGTTTCTCAGAGACCAGATGGAAATATGCAGCAAGCAATGCCTGCCATCCCAGATTGTTTGTGGCTGCAAGTGAGACAGCTGACAGAAAAGACAAATGTAAAACTACAGGGGTCACTGGGAACAGACTTAATGGTGTGGTTTTGGATTGAATACAGCTAAAGGCAAAGTAAAACTGTTGACATGTTGCAAGCTTTTTTACTCTTTTGGTAACAATTGAAAATACAAATCATCACTATATATTTTGATGCATTACATTGTCTAAAGTTTGTTTAAGTAATAATGTGTTTTTGTTACTGCAGGGCTATAAAAGACAGCCCCCCAAAGGATATCTTTTGTTTTTGCTTTTTCAACACTGAGCCCTCCAAGAACCCCCACCTTGATGTTGTCGGGGGGGGTTAGTGCCTGGACGATTCCAGAGGTTATGTTGTCTGGGGCTCAAATCCCCCTAGTAGAGTCTCACAAGGCAAACAGGCTCTGGGTGACTAAATCGGGATGACAATCAGCACCTACTAGTCAGAGGCTATGGTTTTCAACCAGAAAAGGGTGATCTTTCCTCTTCAGGTTGGAGGAGAGTCCCTGCCTCAAGTAGAGAATGGAGGTGAGCAGACCAGTAAGTCCCGGTGAAGAGAGAGCTGAGCAAAAGGTCAAAGTTCAATATGAAAATACAATATACTATATGCAATATATAGTACATTGCTTTATACTATGTACACAGTAGACTGTGCCTTCTTTGCAGACCGGATGACACGCTGCAGTCTGCCCTTGTCCTAGGCAGTGGCACCAGCGTACCAGATGATGGAGGAGGTAATGATGGACTCAATGATGGTGGTGTAGAAGTACACCATCATTGTCCTTGCTGAAATCCAAAAACAGAATCCTGACATAGGTACCTGCCAAACCCAGGTACTGCAGGATGAAGTATAGGAAGTTAACAGCATCGTCTGCAGACCTGTGGGCTCTGTAGGCAAATTATAGGGATCCAGGAGGGGGTCAGTGATCTCTTTCAGGTGTGAAACACT